GATGGTTGGTAGGATGATCAATCACATCCGCATGGACCATGAGACACATCTGTGTGGATAGTATCTGTATCCGTGAGTATGATTTAGTCGAGGACCATAAATCAACATGCCCGACCAAATTATGGAGTGGAAGACAACAAAGAAGCACATCTCGTCCAAGTATTCATCGCCCACGAGTTAGAGAGAGAAGTACAAGTAGTTCCAATTCATTCAAGTTGAAAGACTCAAGATTGAAAGACTTTCAGTAATGCTCAAATCAGGAGGAATAATACGTGTTGTACTCTTTTTTCTTATCCATGGTTTTACCTGGATTTTGTCTTATTGGGTTGTCGGTTTTTTCTGGAAAGGTTTTAATGAGGCAACATCCAAAGCGTATTACAAACTTTATATGGTTATGATATCCAAAGGGGAGTGTTATAAACAAATTAGTGGATGAACCATAACCATATTATCTAGACCTAGCCCGTGTAGTTTATATGACGGTTTAGACATAGTATTTTCCATATTTGTATTGGTTTTGTATTTTCCATTTATCTCCCATATAATTCCCTTTATAAGAGATCCTATATTATAAGTAATATACACACCAATTCTTCTATTTTCTCATTAGTTTACAACAAAATAAACTTTTTTAACTCAACAACACTTTTCATTAACCAAAATGATTACATGATTACAACCTCAAAAAATTTAACCTAACACACAAACAATGAGATTTAATATCACATATAAACACTAAATTGGAACCTACGCTACTCAGTCGAAACGTCTTTGTATTTTTCACCATAACAAAAGCAGAATTTTCTCATGACTCGAAATGAACTGCCAATTGGCCTCTAATTAGACCACGATAGCCGAAACCAACAATGTACACAAGCAAGCCATGAACCTAATTGAGTTTCTAAATCAAGTACATACTGCTAATCCCTAAATGATTACAGTTAATCCCATGAACCCACAGTATCGACACTCAAGGCGCCCTCTGGTTTTCACCCAACCCACCGGCAACCACTGTTTGAATTCATAGCAAAAGAAAAAACAAGACATCGCATCAGGACTGACGATTGGACCTTGACAACAACAAAAGAAACAATACACCTGATTGTAGCTTATTCATACCACCGGGTGAGCCTCAGCTCCGACACCAAATGTAGAGATCCACTACGCGTTGCCAATCAATACCACTCTTTTGGCTGACAACTCCATTGTTGTGAGCTTTGTACCATAGATCAACCCTCGTTTCACCATCCGTCACAACTCTTCTCCAATAGTCTCACCGCCGCTTAGGGAGGTAAATCCATCATCCATGGTAGAGGAGGCGCCTCACTGAAACACGCTAGTCGCCATTAAGATTTTGTCCAACAGGTGAAGAAGGGAAACCTGATCTAACTAGATCTTTATTCATAAAAGTATATCCTCGTCTCCTTTGCCACGCTTGAGCTCACCGTCTCTCCATAATAAATTGAGAACCCGTCACCGTCACGCGCAAAAAATCTCTAGAGATACTCGACAGCTACATAATTATGTATTGACCTAAGGATGATCCAGGAAAAGGAGAACAAAGAGCAGATGAGAAATAGGAGAGGTAGTCGGTCACCTCCGGCAGCATCAAAGCAACGGGTCGAAGTTAGGGTTTGCTTCCTCGGAGCTTTTCTAGTCGTCATTAGAGAGAAAAGGTCGCCTTCAAGAATTTTTTGCTCAGCCAAAAAAAAATGGATGTAGTTTTTTTTTTTTTTGACATCAAACGGCTGGTCTATTACTCAAGCAACATGAGGTGGTCTGGGAATCCAGACCGGAATAGAACAACCAACGAAAACAAGCTTACGGTAAAAGGCCCTAGCTGTCTTAGCTAAAGAATCAGAAACACTGTTCTGTAATCTAGGAACATAAAAGATCTTGAAATCCGGGAAGCAGATCTTCAGCGTCTCCAATCTCTCCAGCTCAGTTGAGAAGTTAGGCCAGGCATGAGGGTTCCTGAGCATCTCGATCATCTCCTTGCAATCAGTTCCAAAGCTCTGACATGGCGAATGTTGAAGCATATTCTCCATTGCCCACCGCAGTGCCTCCAACTCTGAATGCAACGCCGACTCCACTCGATCAAAATTACGCAATCCCAATAATTTTCCATTTCCGAACTCGTCATTTAGCACCCATCCACAGCCACTGAAATCATTCGTAGAGGTCCAAGAGCCATCCACCATGCATATATTACCCAGGTTTAAGTCCTGGTCGTCTTCTCCTCCGTTCCCAATGGAGACCGGAATTTCCTTCTCATTGTCTTTGAACCAAGCTTGGCATTCGCTCTCTGCATAGCGCGCTAACTCCAAGGGGTCCCTATCAATGCCTCTGAAGAGTTTATCATTCCTAGCCTTCCAGATGTACCAGATTAGCCAAGGATAAGGATCCCTGTCCAATTCCGGTTCCATTATCGCATTCTTCCTCCAGAAAAGATAATCCATATTTGCGTACGTGCTCAGTCCTGGAAACAGAACATGATTGGTTGGCGTAGATGATAGTGCCCAAACTTGTACTGCAGGAGGGCATTCAAATATTGCATGATTGATCGTCTCCTCAGGTTCCCCACATCGAGGACAATGATTGTCACATATCATATGTCTGTAGTTTAGGATGCTCGTGACAGCTACATGTCCCGTAATCAATTGCCACATAAGATGACAAATCTTTTGAGGACCCCTGACCTTCCAAGCATGTGCTTGGAGCTTTGTGATACTGGGTTCACATACTCCAGGTTCTTCTTCCTTCCACAAAATATTTCGCGCTACCCAATATCCAGATTTGACTGTATACTGTCCAGTCTTCGTATAGCTCCAACAGTACTTGTCCCGACGATGTGTTGAACTAATGGCCATACTTTTAATGAATGGAATGTCCTCTACCGCCACATAATCGTGAAGTCTCTTATCATCCCAGCACTTCGTTGTTTGATCAATCAAATCACTCACTCGCATATTTGGATGCAGAACCGGTGCCAAAGGAGTAGCAGGTCTTGCGGGTACAGTCAGAATCCAAGGATCTTCCCAGACTTTAACCTCATATCCTGAGTGGACTTTTTGTCGGACTCCCAATAATAACAACTCTCTGCCAGCCGTTATGCTTGTCCACACGTAAGATGGGCTACTAGCATTAATTTGACGCAAGGGCGAAGTCAATCTGTAATAACGGCCTCTCATAACGCGAGCTACCAGCGAATCCGGGTTCTGCACCAGTCTCCAAAGTTGCTTTGCAAGTAACGCAAGGTTAAACTCATGAATCAACCTAAAGCCAATTCCGCCTTCTTCTTTTGGTAAGCATAGCTTATCCCATGTCGACCAGTGAATACCCCTCTTTGGCGGATTTGAGCTCCACCAAAACTGTGCAATGGCACTAGCTAGATTCTCACAAATCTCCAATGGGAGAAGAAAGCAGGACATTACATACGTGGGTAGAGCTAGCAGGATTGATTTTATCATAACTTCTTTCCCGCCTTTATAAAGCCATCTGCCAGTCCATCCATTCACTCGATGTCGCAACTTGTCCTTTAAAAACGCAAAAGCTTACATTTGGATCCACTGATATCCTCTGGTATACCTAAATAGGTTCCCATTCCGCCTTCATTTTGGATCCCAAGCGTGTCTTTGATCTCTTGTCTTGTATCTTGACCAATCCTCTTACCAAAGAGTAAAGAAGACTTATCAAAATTAATACATTGTCCTGAAGCTTGACCATATACCTTGACCACTTTCATTACTTCTTCACATTCATGGGGCTCCGCCTTACAGAAAAACAGACTATCATCAGCAAAGAGAAGATGGGATACCGAGGGACACGCACGCGTGATGCGCATCCCTGTTATCTTTCCTTGACTCTCTGCGTGATTTAGAAGGCTAACGAGCGCTTCCGTGCACAGAATAAAAATGAAAGGGGACAAAGGATCTCCCTGTCTTAGACCTCTTTCCGGGACTATATTCCCTCTTGGCTGCCCATTCATGAGTACCTTATACTTTACTGATGTGACGCATCTCATTATCATAGATATCCAGACGTCAGAAAAACCCATTTTCCTCATGGTGGCTTCAATGAAGGACCATTCCATCCTATCATAAGCCTTGCTCATGTCTGTCTTAATAGCCATCCTCTTATTTCGGCCACTAGGTTTTGTTCTGAGGGCGTGAAACAACTCTTGGGCTATCATTATGTTGTCAGATATCTGTCTCCCAGCAACAAAGGCTGACTGGGTCTCTGAGATCCTGTCTGGTAGATATTTTTTCAATCTCTGGCATAAGACCTTAGAGATAATCTTGTAGCTAACGTTGCACAAGCTAATAGGGCGTAACTGGCTCATCTGGTTTGGCTTATCCACTTTTGGAATGAGGCATATGTTGGTGTCATTTAACCCATTCGGCACTGTCCCATCAAATAAGAATTGATTAACCATAAGAGTTAAATCATCCTTAACAACATCCCAGAATTTCTGATAAAAAAGCGCCGTCATTCCATCTGGTCCCGGGGCTTTCTCTGGATGTATCGCGAAGTGAGCCACTTTAACCTCCCATTCAGTAACCGGAGCTGTTAAGGTCTCATTATCCGATACTGTAATTGTCGTTGATACTTCAGAAAGTGCCTCCTCTATTGCCTCCGGATTTGATGATTGGAATATGTGTCTAAAATAACTCGTAGCAATGGCTACCAGTCCTTCCTCATCCTCCACAACATTCTCATCTTCATCCAGCAATTGTGTAATCCTATTCCTTGCTCTCCTCTGCTTTGTAAGGGCAACTTACGAGACAAAGAAAAAATATACATTTTATAAAACTCCAAGAAGTAACAAAAGTTATAATTTAACTAACAGTATAAACAATGCAGTGATGCTCGAGTAAATGTAACTTAGAAAAGTAGTGTCAACGTAACAGCTAAGCATACAACAAATCTGATTACTAAATTCTTATACAACAAAGCAAGATTTGATTAATAAATTCTTACGTACAAAAGATACAAATTAGTTTGAGCGAACATAGTCGAAATTTTATCACCCTAATTCATCTACTATTTTGATAATCTTTTCTTTCTTTCAAAACATAATCATTACAAAAGAAAAGCCCTTTCCAAACACAAAAGTAAGATATCATGAGCTATGTTCGAATACGACAATCTGAACAACTGCAAACAAATCAATACACTTTAGACCCAACCTTGTTTGTATTTTCGGAAGAGATCTTCAGTCTGAGCATTCCTAAATGCACTACACGCAATAACATAGACCCAAATGAGAACAACGACAGTAATGATAAGTATCAGATTCGCTTTACGCCAATCTTTTCTAAGGTTTCCCAAAAGACCAGCTTTGCATGAGTTGCAATTGTAACAAAGCTGGCTCTGTTCATTGCTCCATAGGTAACAGTCTGCGTCTGCAGCCATATTGTTTGGGTTTTGCCACAGTGTCGGATTCACGAAGTTGTAGCCACACGCGGTCGGTGGTTTGCAGCAACCTGACTGTACAACACAAAGAAAAATGTCATATTTAGATATGATCAAAAACTCAACAAATGGAACGAAACTATTATAATCTTTTGAACCGTTTGCAGTTTGGACTTTTAACATATTTTTAATATATCTCGTTAGTGTTGAGAAATTGAATAGGTCTTGCTTATTTTTCTGTCTTGTTTATACAAATTAACAAAATCTCTAATGCAAGTGGTCGAACATGGGTGAGGATAATTATTCATTATGTTTCTTGATGGGCCAAAGACTTGTGATTGTAATAATTTGAATCAAATCATTGGTCCAATATTTAATAATATCTAACTACTATCGACAGATACACTCAGTCAAAACCTCATTATCTAGGCTTATCTATTTATTAGTGGTTCCAATTATGTTACATGAAACTATTTACTTATATGTTACATGAAACTATTTACGTAAGTTTTCAATTGATGATCACTTAAATAATCTAAATAAAGTTTCCACATTTACGTAAGAATTTATTTGATGACGAATATCAGAAATTTTCATTCATATTATAAAATAGATGATCTTTTTTTTACTTAGTATTAATTTCAGTAGATAATACCGGAATCTTATTCAAATGTAACAATAATTAAATATATATAGTAACCACTTTGGTCAAAAGTTTCCCCTTAATCTCTCCACGTTCTAAGCATATGAGTGGCTTTGTTATTCACCAAAGTGGTTACTACATGCGATCGTTGAACTATGTGGTAGATAATGAGAAGGACAGGAAATAAATAACCAGATTACACCTATTTTATCAATGTACCATATCGTTGGTGCATGGTGGGTCCGTCCTATCACATGTAGTGTGTTATGATTAAATTCAGATTATCTTACTATAGTATTTGGACTGTTGGTTTCCAGCAAGTTCTGCACCAGTCTCCTATCCTAGGACTACATATGCATTTTATACTCCCTCCGTTTCATATTAAGTGTCATTGTAGAGATTTTTTTGCGTTACAAAATAAGTATCGTTTTCGGTTTTCAATGCAAAATTTATTAATTTTATTATGTAATTTGTTTTTCTATTGGTTAAAATATGGTTAGGTGTACGGGTAATTGTGTTTTTATGTAGGAAATATGTAAAATTAATTGTTTCCTTAATCCGTGTGCACAGCTGTAGAGTGACACTTATAATGAAACAGAGGGAGTATATACTAAATTACTAACTTCCAATATCAAGTTTCAAAATATGATATGTCTAGAATTTGAGTGTATGCATTTCCTCTCCGACACTAGAGAGAAACGTTTGCATCGTTTAGAAACTCTGTTTTGCCCTCTCTTTCTTTGAGGATTGTTTGAACTATTTCATATTAATATCAACGTTAAGAAAAACATGTTGAACCTTAAAGTGAATTGTTTTTATCGAAAGAGAAACAAAACGTCAAAAGCCACTATAAATAATGAATAGAGAGAATAAGAACAAAGCTCTCTTCTCGACTTCAAAAAGCTAAAGTGGAATTTTATAACTTTATGATAGCCCCCTAATATATTTTTTTCTTTATGAATCAAACCGTAGGTCTCACATAATCTAGATATTAACAAAATATTCTCGCTAACACTACACCTATTCTTCACTAAAGAAAAAAAAATATTTTGTTAAATTATAAGCACTATTTTTTCCTCTATAATTTACACTATAAGCATCTAAGCTTTGATTAATTAGTTCTGTATCACAAATTGCAAATTAAATTAAAATAAAACTTCAAGAATCAAGGTACCAAACCAAAACCAGTATTAACAAAAAATGTGGGGCCAAAATGTGACAAACAAGAAGTTTCAGGTTTAGAAGAGAATTAAATTAAAAGAAGAGAGAGACAAGAGAACATGCCTGGAGAGGAGTGATGGAAGAGGAAGAGAAGAACTGATCAGCGGTGATGAATTGTTGGCTGAGTTTAGGACACACGTTAGTGTCAGCCAAACAAGCCCTTATCTTTCCCCAGTTCTTTGAATCAACAACGTTCTCTCTCAGCCAATTCGAGAACCCTTCGAGCCTATACTCTTTGTAACCTCGACCGGGAACTTGATAAGACCCATCGGGTCGGGTCACGACGAAGGCAAATATCAAAACCACAAGCAAGAGTCCAATAAGTATGGCCATACAACACAAGTAAACAGCTAGCAGAGTCTCCTTGTACCTAAGAGTGAGAGAATTGAAGCCTACAGTTGAGATCTTTTGTGATAATGATGGAAGCAAAAGTCTCTGTATGTGTATAAAGTACTTACTGGTATGCGCCGATGAAGCCGCAGGCAGAGACAACGAGGATGAGAACGCCGAGGACCACGACAGGCCAACGGAGGAGATTGACACACTCGTTGTCGGGCTTTGAGGCAAGCCATATACCTGAAGCCGTGATCGGTATCGAACATAGTAACGCTAGTAAGTTCAGTATCGCCGTTAAGTTATTCGCCAACGCCATTAATTATCTCTCTCTCTTTCGTTTTGAATGTTTTGAGTTTTTTTGCTTTTATATAAAGAAGAAAGGAAGCGAAATTGTGAAAGTGAGAGAACTCTCTGTTTTCTATTTTATGATGACTTATATGAAGTCGGTGCCTTGGTGGTGGTTAGAGTCGATAGAGAGTGTGAATTCTGTTTAATGCTATTTCACAGAAATGAGGTTCGATCCGGTACAGCCAATTCGGTTTGGTACTGTTTTAAACTGAGTGATTTTTGGCTGTATTTATTTATTTCGATTAATTAATATGTTAAAAAAGTTTTTTATCAAAACATGTTTAAATTAATGTTGTTTTTAAAAAAAAATAGAAATGGTTAAAAGATAAATTTTGTTATTCACTTCCCTGCGATGGACGATGTAATAAAGTGAGCAGGTTGATCTGGTCGGACCGACTTTTTGGGTTTAGAGGTGGAATCATATCACGTGGATGGGAGACACGAGCATTGTAACTGACGCCGTTAAGAACCTTTTTCTGGGCTTTAAAAGCGCGTTTGTGTTACACAAGTGGGCATTTTAGTTACGCCGTAACAAAGGTAACCCAGCTACAAGAAGTCACGTTAAACCAACGGCATTTTTTTTTTCATGGACTCCACAGGCTCATGTTAACGCTGAGAACCATTTCGGTAACTCTTCATCCATGTAAACGATAAAAGACTGTTACTTTCTTGCACAACGTGCTAAGTTATCTGCCTTCGTATTTTGCGTTCTAGGTACATGAATGATCTCTGAGTTTAGAAAGCTTTGCTTCATGATCATAATGTCTTCCAAGTAGGTTACAAAAGCGTGCCATTCTCCTGGTTTCGAAACCATGTTCACCAGTTGAGAACAATTTGTTGCAAATGTGACCCTAGCCTGCCGTAAATTCTTCATACACTCTATTACCCAGATTAAAGCCTCTATTTCTGAATGAAGAGGGGAGAGACTTGGTCTGACATTCCTTGCCCCCATCAGTCCATTAAATCCTCTGAAGTACTATACCAACCCTGCCTTGAGAAAAGTTCCTTGTCTTTCCATGACCCATCGATAAAACACCACCTCCCTGGTATTGATGATGAGGTTAAGACCACATTCTGTTGGACCGCCTTCTGTGGAATCAGCACTTGTGTGTCAGCCCAAAGGGTTGATTCTGTTTCCGCTATTTTAAGTGTTTCCCTGGGATCTACATCTAGATTGCTGAAGACCTTATTGTTCATTGCTTTCCAAATATACCATAGAATCCAAGCGTAATGATGATTGTCCAATTTTGGTTGAACTCTCCAAAATAAGTGATCCATATTTGTGAAGAGGGATCCGATAGAGAAAACAGCTGGATTTAATGGTATTCACGAAAGTGCCCAGACTTGACGGGCTAGGGGATATTCAAAGAAAATGTGATTTATCGACTCCTCCGAAGCTCCACATCTATCACAATAAAGATCTCCTTTTATTCCAATTGCACTCAAATTTTTATTGACTGATATACATCCAGATACCAGTTGCCATAAGAAATGCTTAATCTTCGGTGGACACTGTACTTTCCAGCAGAACGCTTTGAGTATATCCGCATTTGGACCAATCAGTACCAGTGGTTTATTATTGTCGGGATAAACCCTCTCAATGTTGTATCCTGATTTGACCGTATATTTCCCCTTTTGTGTAAAGTGCCATCCTTCCTTATCTCTCATATAATGCTTACTCAGGGGGATGCTCGTTATGATTTGCACATCCTGAGGATCCACTAAAGCCTGGATTGCCTGTAAGTTCTAAGTACGCGAAACTAAGTCAATGAGAGATTCAACAGTAAGATCGGGGTAACTGTCATGTTGGTTTTTATTTGCTGGTCTCGGGCGAGTGGTTGGGAGTCAGGGATCATTCCATACAGAGATGGAAGATCCTGATCCCACCCATTTGATTAGTCCTTTGCTAACTATAGATCTAGCCGAAATAATACTCCTCCAGCCATAGGACGGAGAATATGATCTAATCGGTTCCAGAGGTGAAGCATTCATGTAATACCGACCTTTGAAAACCCTCGAGAATAAGGAATTGGGCTTCTCAATCAGGCGCCATAATTGCTTTCCTAACATCGCCGTGTTAAAATCCTCAAGGTCTTTAAATCCCAATCCTCCTTCTTTCTTATTTACACACAATTTATCCCAGGATTTCCAATACATACCTCTTGTGTTACCACTCAAACTCCACCATAATCGGGAAACCGCACCCGTCAGCTTCTTTACAGTTGCCTTCGGAAGCGATAACAGGAAATCACATGATTTGGTAATGCGGTAATTACCGATTTGAAAATCACCTCCTTTCCTCCTTTAGTAAAAAACTTAAAAGTCCAACCATCGACCCTACTATTCAATCGTTCCTGTACAAGTCCAAAAACTTGAACCTTGGATCCTCCAATATTCTCAGGTAGCCCCAAATAGGATCCCATTCCTCCTATATTATGAATAAGTAGTATATCCCGCAATTCATGTCTTCTAGATTCCTCAATCTTATTCAATGATTTTTGAAAATTGATTTGTTGACTTGATACCACCTCTTACTCCTTTAATATCTTGAGAATAGTTTGACATTCCTCTTTTTGTGCCTGACAAAAGAAAAGACTGTCGTCAGCGAAAAGGAAATGTGAAATCGATGGGCAAGCTCTTGCTACTTTCATTCCGGTCAATTGCTTCTCCCTCTCAGCCTTTTTTTATATTCGTAATTAATGCCTCAGTACACATAATGAACAAGTAAGGCGATAACGGATCCCCTTGGTGAAGCCCCCTATGAGGAATTATGAGTCCTCAGGGTTGTCCATTAATTAAAACCTGGTATTGGACCGATGATATACACTCCATCATTAGTTTAATCCAATGTGCATCAAAACCCATTTTCTGTAAGAGCGCCTGAATAAAATCTCATTCCACCCTATCATACGCTTTACTCATATCCATTTTAATAACCATATACTTATTCTGACATGCTTTGTTTTCTCTCAACCCGTGGAACATTTCCTGCGCTATAAGGATATCATCCGAAATCAGCCGACCAGCCACAAATGCCGACTGAGTCTCCGAGATAAGTGTAGGGAGGCATTGCTTTAATCGCTGGCACAATACCTTCAAGATAATCTTATACCCAACATTACATAAACTGATTTGTCGAAGTTCTGTCATCCTTGTAGGCCTTTCCGTCTTTGGAATCATACAAATATTGGTAATGTTTAACTTGAGTCCAACTCTCATGTCACCAGAAAATTATTCACCATTTCCACCAGATCATGCTTAATGATATGCCAAGAGTGTTGAAAATATAAAGCTGTCATTCCGTCTGGTCCAGGAGCCTTCTCTGGATGCATCATAAATAGAGCCTGATGCACCTCCTCCTCCGTCGCGATACGCAGCAGCCTCTAGTTCGTCTGGGAGGTGATAGACGTTGGTATCTTGTCCAGGAAACTATCAAACTCAGACGGAGAGGTGTTGCTAAAAAGCTCCTAAAAATAACCCACTTCCACTCTCTCCACCCCGTTCTCCTTCGTAATCCAATTTCTGTGTTCATCGTAGAGCCCTACAATCCTGTTACAGATCCTCTTTTGCTTTGTTAATGCATGGTAGAATTTTGTGTTAAGGTCTCCAGATGTGTACCACATATACCTGCTTTTCTGGTACCAATAATCTTCGTCATCCTTATACGCCTCCTGTAGTTTCTTTGCTACCTCTATTATTTCCTCTTGAGATCTATTGTTATCTGTCTGTACCTCTTCAAGTGCTTTTTGAAGTTCGTCAATCTTTTCTTTTCCATAGGGTGGATTATTCTTGCGCCATTTAGCAATCTCATGGCGACAATCACTAATTTTTGAAACAAAATCATTTGTGTTCCCTCCATTGGTTTCTGACCATCCTAGAGCTATTGAATCCATAAGTCCATCCTTACCGATCCATCTCTTGTGAAAACAGAACTTCCCTCTTCGTCTGGGGACCTTATCTTCTAGATATGCTACTACAGGCTGATGATTCGAGGAAATCATCCCAAGTTACTCCGTGTAAGAGCATGGAAAAAGTGTATGCCAATCTTCATTAGCTAGAGAATGGTCGAGACAACATTGAACCATCATTGCCTCTTTCCCTTTCCCTCTTCTCCCTTGCCAAAACATTTTGTTTCCTCGAGCCGGGAACTCTAATAAGCCACTATTTCTGATCATGTTGTTGAAAGGCTCAAATGAGGCGGCACTCCTCAATGGTCCTCCCTCCTTCTCATTTTTCCCGGTAATCTCATTTTATCCCCAATAATGAACCATGGTTTAGATCTCGCCAGTCCAAATCTAGTTAATCGTTCCCATACTTTCTCTCTTAACTGTTGCACCGGATCACCATAAACAAAGGTAAAGAACACCTTCTTACCGAGAGTTTCTCCCTCCACATCTATCATTCGGTTACTAGAAAATAAAACCTTGATATGATAGTCATTATTATAGAAAAGGGCAAGTCCTCCACTATTCCCAATTGGATCCACAGTGACCAAATTATAGTAGCCAAAATATGATTGAAAGCCTTGCACAAACTCAAAATCTTGTTTTGTCTTAGATAAAAATAAAAAATCTAACTTATGTTTATACCATATCTCCCGAAGATACCTAATTCCCCAACTACTTCCCATTCCTCTGCAGTTCCAACTTAATAATCTCACTGGAATTTTTTTTGGGGAATTTCTCCTTGAAACTAGGTTGTTGAGTATAAAGAGACTCTGACCGAACTATACCATCCTCGTTGCAACCCAAATCCCAATTGCTTAATAGTTTAAAATACTTTCTTGTCATTATGTGTGTTTCATTATTACATGTGAAGCTCCAGCGTAATGTTATAAAAACCATTACAGCAATGACTTTCCACAAGACCATTACAGCAATGACTTTCCACAAGAAGATTTCCTTAAGAACACGATACCAAATATCCCCTATTTCTCCCATGTCTATGTGTGGTTGGTTTAATGGAGCAAACCACATTGGCTGATGTAATGATAGTATATATTCCAACCATCATCTTCTTATATCATCCC